ATCATTAAATCGACTACACTGTAAGCGATTCAAATGGTCTTAAAATGTCCTCACCGCTACCATTAAATGAAAAAACGGACTTGATTTCCAGTCCCAGTTCTTTGCAAGTTCTGAAACATGTTCTGGCTTGAGATGTAAACAAGGTGCGAACATCTGCATCTACAGCTTTGAAATGGGAGTGAAGCAATACCAGTCACAGAGGTGGTGTGTTGGAAGAATGAGAAAAATGCCATAAAATACTAAACAATGAAACTTATAATTGTCAAAGGATTTACAGCTGCAAGTGCAAAAAATACAGAAGCTTTATAGTTGGTAAATAAAAATGGCCTACCTCTTAGAGTCAGAGGTTGGTTCTGATCAGGGGGGTTTCTTTCATCTTCGTCGATGACTTTACAAGTGCTTTTCCAGCAATCAGCTCTAATGCACACATCATCATGAATATTGGCCACCCACGTTTCACTTTCTTCTCATTTCTCCCTCTTCTTTCTTTTCCTTTCTCTCTTTTTCACACTCTTTCCACCACGAGCACCCCCGGCCCCAGTATGCAGTTTGACAAGGTTGTCATAAAGTTATTATCATAAAATGTTTAGCCGTGTCCTGGGTATTGTCCTGTAAAGACATGTGACTAAACATGAGATCATTTTTTCCTGACCCAGAAGTTTTTTTTTTCCCTCTTGGCTTATTTATTTTTCTGTGGTTTGGGGAGGTTGAGGCTGAGAGTCTGATGATATGCTGTGTGTGTTCCTCTCCTTACCCCACCCCTCAACGCTCCTCTCCACATTTCTATTTCCTTCTCGATTTATATGCAAAAGGTATAGGGAGTGACAAAGGTTTTGTTTTTTTTACATTCACTTGTTGTCCTACAGTAAATCACAGTGATTACTTCCCATTAATTTCCATGTTCATAAGGTTTTGCCTCATTCTTTATTAGTGTAGTCTCTACAGATGATGTTACTATCATAATAACTGCGTACAGTTAAGATTAAAATTAAGAACCTTTTTTTCTCTACCTTTTGTCTTTTCCCTGCCACATTTCCTCAGTGTTGTGGTAGTAGGAGTTAAGGTTTGGTCTGAACACTGTCTAGACGCCTATGAGCCTCCCATTACCTCCTGATTACGCTGAGCCCTATTAATCTGACTGGGCTGGCTGACCGGGGCGCGCGCACACATACACACACACGCACATATGTGGAAAATGGGCCGCAATGTTATTTGTTATGATTGAGAAAACACACAACGCTTGTGTATCAGATTTAGAAAAGTCAGACAAAAGCAAGTAAAACGTTTTCTATTCAATTCTTCTATTTCAACTTGTGTTTTTTTAATAAAAGCACTGGTGACTCTTTTACAAACATTCAATATTAAATGGGCATAAGATTTTCTTAAGTAGGGACAGTGCAGTTGGTGGAAAAATATTAACTCTTGCAGAAAAACAGGGCTTTACTATGGACTGTGTTATTATTATTATTAAGGTAGAAAAACATACTATCAGAGGTCACACAATATCTTTCAAATAGCTGCAAAATGGTCAAATCAGTGATTGCCATCACAAATTTGTGAAGTTTAAATTCAGGGTTTCTCAAGTCTCTTTGATAGGCCTCATATTATTTTATTTGTACAAATATTATGGATGTATTTTATACAGATGGTTTGAACATTAATGTATGAGTAAAACAAAATCAATTGTTGATGACAGGGAGGAGAGATGGCTTGAAATGAATAATTACATTTTAATGTAGTGTAGATTAATTCAATTGAAAAATGTCAATAAAATCACTTATCTTAAATAATAAAATGTTTATTTTTGATTTTATACCAACATGTAGAATGTGACGCATACACACATGCAGAGAAGAAAAGGTCAGGTCATCAAATCTCTTGTTGGTCATTGGACTTAGTCGGAAGTAACCTGATCCTCGAATATCTGATCATATTTCAATCTGATGTTTCATTAACACATTCATGAAATCCATGAAATAGTGAGTGGGTGAAATTAGACACACACATGAAGATTGAAACAAAATGCTGTCAGAGGAAACACCCGTCTGTCGTCGCCGGGGCTACTGAGGACAGAAAGGTGGGTGTCGGGTGCCAAGGAAACAAACTAACTATGGGAATCCAGCTCAGCAACCACAAGTAATGTTTACTTTTGGGGTTAATAGTGTGTGTGTATGTGCGCTTGTATACGGGTGTGTGCAGACAGTGATCCCTTGGGAAAGAGTTTAACGCTTGAGTCAGTCTGTCTTTGTGCGAGCTTGGGCTATTTGCCTACCTGAGGGAGAATAAAAACAGAGATGCAAAGCCAAAGTGCCAAAAAAGTCTCAGAAATGCCTTTGAAAACGCCATAAAGGGATTTCATGGACGTCGGCAGGCCTGTGAGAGATGGACTTTGATACAACTCTGTCTGGCCTGGACCGTGTTGGAGGATATACGGCCACAGTTGCGCAGCTCTGACTGGTGGAACACTTAAGGGGTTTTTATGACCTGCTGCCATTTGGGACTCTGGGATCGAGCGGAGCGCCGACCACATAACTAATTAGGCCTGGCCAACGGGGGTGTGCGAGGATGGGGATTTGTGGATTGTGGGATGTGGATGTGGTGTGGCGTGTCTGCATGAGTGGGACAGTGAGTGTGTGGCACAGGTCGTTGTGTTGTGTCCTGAGCACAGAGCGCCACATCAGGGCGCCGTTGGTTCTCCATAAAGTCTCCGTGAGCTCTTTCATGTAGGAGCCTGGAAACTTTGACACAGGAGATAGGGACCCCACAACACACACACACACACACNACACACACACACACACACACACACACACACACACACACACACAAGATGCAGAGAGAGGTGTATGAAAAGATTTGAAAAGTTGGGCCTGCTCTACAGAAACAACACTTTGCTTATTGTCTCATCACTCTAACCCTCCCTCCTCTTCTCTCCGTCCAAGGATCATGAAGATGAACGACCATGCCTAGATATGATAGTTCACTGGCGGGGGTGGTGGTGGGGTGTTGTCAGAAGTGGAATGTGTGTGAACTGCACACCGCCGCCTATAAATCAGGCCGACAAGTAGGAGGAGGAGGAGCAGGAGGAGAGGGAGAACAGGGTGGAGGGGAAGGAGGAGGAGTCAGTGCGAGGGAGTCATGGGAGGGACGATGAGATAAACCAGAAAATGCATTTGCTGCTGAAAATGCATTTGCTGCTGAAAATGCGGAATGAATGGTGAGTTACGCTTCAGCTCTGAATACTGAAATTGATCAGGGTGTAATGTCACCCACTGTACACTGCAAAAGCTTCCCACACACACGCACTATAAAATCCAAAATTTTGATTATTACATGAGAAGTCAGTCAAAACATTTTGCCAGAGAAATATAATTTGTTGAGTTTGTCCTTAATTAAATTATAATTGGAAATATACTCAATGCGTGTTTCGATCTCAAAATTACATCCGCCTCCATCTGTACACTAACCTCTGGTGGGTGTCTCCATGTCGCCATCTGTGACTCTGATAGGAGGAGAGCAAGTGGGGCCAGTCTCTCTGTTGATTGGCTGTGGCCGCCTTTCATCTTTCTTCACAGTGGGCACCGGCTAGACGGTGAAGCTTGAGGCTGCACCCTCGGTCTGAGGATCTCTGCAGCTGGTCAGTCCTGAGCATGCTACCGTGTTTTTAAACCAAAAGAAAAAGCCTTGTTGATCTTTTCCTTTCCTTTGCAGTGAACTATATTTGCTCAAAGTGGGAGTTCATTACCTCTTTGAGATGAGACTCTCTCCAGATCGAGTTGGTTGGCTTGGATGAGTGCACACAGGGACATGGTTCTTCATCTTTGTTTTGAAGGAGACTTTTTATGCATCACAGTCTCACTGAAGGTTTGGTGTTATTGCAACGTTCTCTCAGTAGATCAAGAACTCCTACATCCTTGTCTTTATTCTATATTATGCCTGACAGTGTCTGACGAGCAGCATTCTGAAGCTGACAGGGGTTGATGGGTCAGCTGAGGATGGGACCTGGACCTGAAAAGGAGAAAATCATAAGGAAACCATATCAAGCCAAATTCACTTCAGATATTTAAAAAAACATTGTGATACTTCAATGCATAGAAACACTTTTTAGAACAAACACAAAATGCAAAATTAGCTGAAATTCTGATCAAATCAAGGTTGGAACATGCAGAAAAATGTAAAGGTGCCAAGTTAGGTGAAAAGAAATAGAGTGTGAGTAGCATCCAGGCATAGACTCACTGCTGAGAGGTAATGTTTACCTGTGGATGCTCTTTGTGAAAGGAAGCATTGACGAAGACAACAGGCATGGTGTGATGACATCCTCTCTTTTCCGCTCCTCTGGTTTGATGAAACAGCTTTTGCCATCTTCCTAGAGAAGACAGTAGGCTCCACAGATACAACTGCCTCACTTTGGAAGATGGTTCTCTTCTCGACTAATAGACGGGATTTGCATGAAGGGGAGGTGAACGAGGGACGAAGTCCAACCCGAGCAAACGAGAGCGATAAAAGGCAGAGGGAGTTGATGATGGGACAAATTACAGTGAGCCGTCACTTAAACTTTTTATATAAGTTTGTCTAAAGCTGTCTCAGGTTAGGAAGGGGAAATTAAAAAAAAAACCAAAAACAGATATAAAGTGAAGAGACGGCTCACGTCGATGACACACAATCAGGTGTGATGGATGAACATGAGACCAGTTAATTGAGGTTTCTTATCCGCCCTCTTTAGCTCCTGATAAGCTCTCCAACTCTTAGCACCTCACAGCTAATTAAGCTCCCCCCTGGAAGGCAGGGGTGGGTGGGTGGGTGGGTGTGTGTGTGTGTGTGTGGGGGTAAAGAAAACACAAAGATCTTTAGGCCATCTCTCAGCACTTTATCACTTCACACCTTCTACTGTGGGAGTGAATCTGCCACGAAAAACTAGAAATCCTGTTGTTAATAAGACTCTTTGTTTTCAATCTAGGATTTAATGTAGGAGTATTTCAAAAAAAAGCAATGCAAACATGTCAAAATATAGGGATCTTTAATTTGGAAGAAAATGTAATATTTAATTTCCATTTTTTCTGGTTCTGTCAAAATAAAGACAACACACCATGTCATACCAGCCCATGCTATACTTATGGACCTGGTGCAGCACTGGATATGATTCATTATTGCAGTGTAAGATGCAAACTGTGATTCAGAGTGAATATTAATAACAATGGGCTGTAAAATGTTATTTCCTCTTCTAGCAGCTTTCATAAAGACAGTGATACAAGAGTCAAAGACAACAAACTTCTTGAATTGAGTTTGGTTTGTGTCTTGGTTGTCATGCTTCAGTTTCTTATCGTCCATTTGGAAAAAACCTGCTCTTGTTGCACACCAGATGATGCCTGAGGGTTGAAGGTTTCACTTCTGGGTTTGTGTCACGGTGTGGGTGAAGGAAGCAGTTTTGCGCCCCCATCAGGCGGCAGACAAGAATCACAACCCAAAAAGGGTTGGCAGTGCCTTTGCACAAGTTACAAAATGAAGCTGTAGAATACTCCAGACTACCAGCCTGACCCTATGGTATACATTTTAGAGAAGAACCCATCATGCTGCAGAAATCCTGCCCACTATAAGGCACATCAGTATATTCCACTGTCATTAACATGATCAGCATCAACAGATGTTTTTTTGCACCTGGTTTCCGAACAGAACACAATGTGTTTTCAGATTCTTAACTGTTCAATGTTGTTTTTCCTCTTCTTTTTTGATTTTGGTGGTTCAGGTACTTCACTAAATACTGATGTTACCTCACTACCAGTTTCATGTTTCCTCTTTTTGCTTGGCTTATCACTGATGTAGCCGCTGGAATCGCTCCCGTGCACGTACATGGGAGAGAGCTCAACTCCCTCCTCCTCTTCTTCCTTCAGACGTTTTTCCTTCTTCTTTTTCTTTTTCTTTTTTTCACCCGCTTCGTTACCGTTTGCCTCATCTGTCGTTCCGTTAAGCTCTGGTGGTGTGACAATGTCCTGTTGGCAGGAGGGTGTCACCTCGTCTTCCGTCTCCTCTTCTTTGACTTTGTCTTTTTTCTTTTTCTTCTTTTTCTTGGGGGTGTCTTCAGGAGATGCCTCTGTGGTTTCAGGGTTTGGTTCTGTGTCTGCTGTGTCTGGCTGGTCTGCAGGGATGCCCGACTCTGAGCTCTCACCCAAGGCCATCAGCTCTTGGACCCTTGGACACAAACACAAAAATCAATCACAAAGTGTAACAGAAATAACTGATGCGACAAAAAAATTAAAAAAGTTCCCAGATTTATTTTGCCAGGAGCCCCCTCCTGTAACAACCGCTACAGATAATTTACCGGGTTCTGCCCAGCCGCCCTCTGATCAACAGCACCCCCACATTATCAGCATCGAGTGCAGTCACTTCAAACTCCAGATCAGCTCCGATCCTCGGCCCAGCATCCATCCAGGTTTCCATAGAGACCAGGTTTGGCTTGGGAATGCTGGCGTTGAAACAGCCGTGTACCAGGCAGCCAACATGGCTTACACCGAGTTTATTGACCTTACCCTGGAAAAACAAACACAAATAAAGTATGATGCTTACATCACAGACGGGCAAGTACTTACATGTTTTGTTTATGTTGTTGTGAGGGGCTGGAAATGTCTTACAAGACATAAAAGATAAATAAACCAATAAAAAATACGCCAGTGTTTTTTCTTTAGTTACAATAAATTCCCAAAATACAGTCTATTAGATTAATTACATTTCATGTGTTATTTTAACTTGTCCAAGACTAAAATAAAACAGTTTAATGCTGTCATTTTTGTTTCTATGGCCTGTTTATTTGACTCTAAATAAAATCCATGACTGTACAGACATGTGCCCACATCTAGAAGCACCATCTGTTACACTGGGTGAAAACATTCTGTGATTAAATTAAACCTCACCAGCAATTTCTGTCCTTTTTCAGGTTGAAACACGATAAAGTTGGCCTCTATGTCCATGTGGATGTAGCTGCTGTCGTCATTGATATCTCCGTGCTGCCCCACTATCCTGATATTGTCGTAAGCTAAAGGGACTCCGTTCAGACTGCAAGAGGAAAATAGGACAGGTTGTACAAGTTAAAAATAGTTAGACTCAGTGTAACACGACATGATACAGTTTTATTGTCATAATTACAGATCATTTGCAATCTGCGGGTGAAAACCATTTTGTACACAATGAAAAGTGCAGGTATGTCATTGAGCATCAATCAGAACTGAGACAGACCTGTTCATGCTCTTTTGCCTCCAGGTGACCACTACCTGCATGCATCGCTTGTCATGTCAGGAAAGTTGAAAGGTGTGTGATCGAATTGAACCTACGTCATTTTAATGCCCAGGAAATGTCCTGGGGGTTATTTTGGCCTGGTTACTGCTGCTAACAGATGACGAGCCTCTCAAGCACTGTAAGCACGCAAGCCCCCTGATGCTTGCATATCGTGTCCTCCAAGCAGGAGGTGCACATCAAATAAACAGACATCATCATCTACCCTCAGCGACGCAAACAGAAACTTTACCCGGCTTTGTACAGGCTGTGTGTATGTGAGAGAGAGTAACAACAATAATTCATTATAACAACAACAATAATAAATACTGCAAATACACCAAAAATAAATTCAGTGTGCATTTCACTACTTTCTGAGCTTTTTCATCAAATTGAAATACAATTTGAAACCATTCCGTCTAACTCTTCTTAAATTCAGTTTAACCGTACATGAGCATTGTGTGCTACTTCACACTTCATATCAGTACAGAGGCAAATATTGTATATACTCTATTCCCTTCTAGGTCCAGTGTGTAAGATTTAGGAGAAGAGAATTTATTTGCAGAAATTGAATATAAAATAATGTGAAACACCTTTTGAGTTTTTATGATCTCAAGGGGAAGGTGAGAAGTATTCAGCTGCAGCATGCAACTTCACCACTAGAGGTCCCTCAATTCAACCCATTGAACCTTTAATTTTACCTCTATAGTAAAACCGCTATATGTGCTCCTTATGTGCATCAGTTACAGTGTACAGGGCTCTCACATATGGTGGGGTAGGTGACAGCTGTGTCCGATAATGGACCTGTCCAAATGTCTACAATTTTAAACGTCCACCACAAAGAAGACCACAGCTGCGTAAACGCTGGCTCAACCTGGCATGACGTATGAGGAAGATGGCTGCATGTTTGAGGCTGTCGAGTGACGATGTCGACACAGCTGTATAACACTAACACGTGGTTCCTCCTCCTGTTGTTCGTACCTCTGGGAGAACTTGAGCAGCTCGGCCTCCAGCTCGCCCCGGATACCCGTCCTCTTCTTCTGCAGGTACATGGGCGGCAGCGCGACGTGTCTGCGGTGCGTGTCCATGACCAGACACGAGTACGGGGCAGACAGCAGCTCGGACGCGAGGGCGAACGACGGGATCGAACACGGGACCGCGTCTCTGTCCGGTTCTGTCGGTCGGACCTGGTCGCAGACGGCGGGGACCTCCCCAGACATGTTGGCATGTTTTGGATCGACCTCAGCATGCTCTAAGTTCGCCATGCTGGTTTACAAGACCGGAAGACCAACAACGAGCGACTTCCGCCTTGAGCATGTTAAACATGAGAGAGCGTTTGTCTAGGGGGACACCTGCTGGTGAGGAGACGGAATTACAACAGTGAATGTCAAAAAAAAGTTGAAATTTTTTTTGACTCATGCAATTAAAAAAAAAAAAAAGATTTATGTAGTTTTCTAAATGTAACCACACACCAGTGTTTGCCCACAGACAAATCTTTAAAAATATATGACATAGGCTGTAATATATGAGGATATGTGTCTTGTTATATGTGCCACAACCAGTCTTCCCTCAGAGCAACGATTGGATTAACAACATGACAAGGGCCTTTAAGGTGGCTTCTGCTTTATTATTAGATTTTAGATCCAGCCTTGAAAAAAGGGCCCAGTGTCAAAATCATCCAACGTGCCCTTTGTGTGGTGACTGCACTGTCAAACTGTTCAACTGTAGGAGGCGCTCATTGATTCTGTATCATTTTCTTACCTGCATTAAGATCATTAAGGTGACCTTAGGTGTCAATTGGTGCAACTACAGTACACATGAACACACACACACACACACACACAAACACATGTACATATATAGATATCTAGTGTTGCTGTTTTCTGACAGAGCAACATGAAGGAAGTCACATGATTCAGCAGTTCACCACTTGTGCATGCACGCACACACACACACACACACACACACACACGCACACACACACACTCTGTGCGGATATTGAGCTCTCTGGGGTGCCATGGCCCACTCCTGTCTGTTGTCACGGTGATAAACGGTGACATGGTTTCCTAGTTAGTAAGTGCTCCTAGTGGCTTCTGCTGCCGTGGGCCCTAGTTAATGGTTAACACACACACACACACACACACACACATCCGATAATGAGGCAGCATATTGTGGACTGCACAATTTCACAAGTGTTGAACTTCTTATACGAGGTCTCATCTGTATCTGTGTGCATGTGATATTATTTTTCTTTTTCATTACTATTTCTCCTTTTCCTTTGTGAAGCACTTTGTATCTCTGGCTGTGAGAGGCACTCTAAAAGAGATTTACCTCATCGCTTAACTTTACAATCAGCGCGTAAACCCAGAGCAGAGCCAAGAGCCTTCACTGTGTTAAACTGTCGTCCCACAGGGGAACAGTGGCTTCATAAATCCTGCCCCACATTGATCATGTTGACTACAAAGTGCTGCAGGTTGTCAATGCACAATATTGTAATTGTTTTTTAAGATTAAATACATGTATCTATAATGTGGCAATACACTCACAACACCTCACAAACACATCAATATATTTGAGATCATGGAAAACTCATCTTGCTGCTAAGTGTGTATTTGTAAATTAAACTTAAAAATACAATCAAAACAAAAATTCCAGCAACATAGACTCAGATTTATCTTACTTTATTTAGGTCATTTTTATAAGAAGCATTTATAAAAATATGTCTCATTTATAGATACGACTAGATGCCTGATACACAAGCATGGATATACAGTACAGTGCATTGGGCGTCACAGTATTTTCATGCCAAAGCATTCCATCATCAGATGATACATACACTTTACTGTAGGCTGCCTCCACATTTGCAGTCCATGAACCCATAACAAGACAGACGATAAGGGTGTGGAGAAACAATAGTAGCTCTTTAAAACAAGTGGATCATCTGCATGCGTGGTTTGTGCTCATCACTTTGAGGCATCTGATTACCTTTTTACCTTCAAGGTCGATGTTACACAGATGGTTTGTCACCTGAATTCATCACCCAAAATGACAGCCCTCTGTCCTGGCTTTGGTTTGACTTGAAGAAGAGGTTTGAGGCCACGTTTGCATAATTAGTCAGAAGCACAGACGCCGCCCTTGGTTTCTCTCCCTGCACTCAGAATATAGTCGCTGTGCATGTTGCAGGGCTGTGTACAGTCCTATCAGCAGGAAGTATATGCTACATTTATCTGATGACAGCAACTGATTCGTCCCTCAGGTTTCTGTTTCAGTGTGTGCAACCTGCCTTTGGTGACATCATGGTGATGCTGTGGTGTGTCCGTTGTAGGAGATCTGAGGGATGCCGTTGCTGGAGTTGTCCAGGATCTCCTGTTAAGGGGAACATGCGAGCACACTTGATAACTTCAAATACAACTGACAACTTATGTTGGAGGTACACACCATTGTTACCTTCACCTGCGAGATAATGTTTTCATTATGCAAAAACTTGGTGGAAGGATGCAATGCTGGTCAGCGAATAATCTATTCCATTTTGGTTTAAATCCGGATCGGGTAGCGGATCCAGGAATTTCTCTTTCTTTAACATTGTGAGATACAGTGTGTTTGTAAATTTTCATTGATTTCTCACAGAATAATAAAATAAAAAATCAGATGTGTTTCCTGGACTAATACTTATGAATGGTGCCGATCAAAAAAAAACTCTGGATCTATTAAATCAAATTGTGGTTTCATAAGGGGACAGTTGGGCCATGGTGGAGGTAAGTGCTCTACCGAGGGCTATTGCAGTTGCCATTGTTTCCATTGATGCTGCTGTCTTACCTTCTCGGTCATCTCGTGCGAGTGGTGCAGTGAGTGCTCCCTCTCAAGGAACATCCTCTGCTGCTCAGAGCTGGCGAGGCGACAGGTCAGCCACGTCGATAAGGTACATGATGAGATGCCTGGAAAAGACAGGAAGAGGAAAACCAGCTGGTTAAAGAACTGAATTTTACAGGAAGTGTGGACTGTCCCATCTTTCTTTCATAGTTATTTAGTGATAAGGGGGACTGACTCGTTGGATTTTGACTTGAAGGCAGTTGTTTGATGCAAGGTTGATTTACCAACCTGGAATATCTGGTTGTCCCTATAAAGCCCTGGATTGTCTGTGTGGCAATTATTGGTTATTTTAATTATATTCACCGTCAGTAGTGGAAAGATGGGGCTGGGGTGACAGAAATAAAGATTTGTGACATCACAAGCCCTGGCTGTTTGAATTAAAAAAAAATCCAGACTGGTATTTATTTACTAAAGTGTTGAGGTGAAAATACTCATATACCCATATCACTGACTGCTTGATTAACTCAAAACATGTTATAAATGTTTTTTTGGTCATGTAAAAGGCAAAACTTTTTAAAACTAGGATAGGCATGTATTCACTTATAAATATGAACTTTCTAGTTATGTTTTATGGCAATCTAACATGGGGTTTGTCGTGTGGTGTTATTGTTATTTTTAGTTTACCCAAACCGGCCAGTGTCATGGCAGCCAGGTGGATCGAGTGCATTGAGTCCGGCCGTTTGTTCAGTGCCCGAACAAACTGGAAGTTGAGGATCCCACCAATAAGACCGCAGATACAGCACGCTGAAAACAGGATCATCTGGAAGAGGAAGAAGAGTCAACGCTGACGGTAAAATTGACATGCTATCAACAAAACTGTAAACAAACTGACAAAATGTGAGGAGATGTGAGATAAACAAACTGCTACTGATCTTCCATCTCCATCATTTTGTTGTTTTGGGTGATGGCTGCTGTGATGGGGAATGTGCATCAGTCAAAATAAATCTCATTTCCTATTAGAAAATTGGATTGCTCCCAAAGTACAGTCTCCTCCAGAAATATTGCCCTGCTTGTAAATATGCGGCCATCACTCACTTGCTGTATTTGTGCCTGTGTGTGTGTGTGTGTCTGATTTGTGTAGATTGTTGGTGAGGTTTTACTTTCAGTATTTAATCAATTATTGTGGGTTTACAGTACGTTCTTCTTATTATCAATAGCTGGAAAACTCAGACTCAGTAGGATGATCGGATTGTTTTCCAAGAGGATCTGATGGAGCGATGATTGCAATTCCTTTACCTTGCAATCAGAATAATCAAATGAAATCAATTCAATTATATTCTAGTCCCCATCAATTGTGGATGCATGTGTGTGTGTGTGTGTGTATTGTGACTGGATGCAGGTTCTCTTTCATTGCTCCCTGCACAGATTCCTTTAGTGCCTTTAACTGCATGGAAAAGGGCATCTCCAGTTTCAGTCATTATCCGCTGAAGTGTGGAAAGCGGCTGGCAGGAGTCTGGAGCCAAACCAACCTAATGCAATCATCACTCCACAGGCAAACATGGCGGGAGCGGATGGAAGGAGGAATGAGGAGAGGAAGATGGAGCGGGGCAGAGCATCAAAAGGACTAGGTAGAAGAAGGTATAGAGATGGATGCGATTAATGAAAGAGGGGGAAAAAGCGAGAGGGTAGGATGGCGACAGAGACAATAGTTGGGGATGGACAGATGGAGGCAGAGGGAGGGGAAGGTTGAGGGATGGCTCTGTTACAGCAGACTGACACTGATCCATCACGCCCTCCCCACAGGAGACAGAGACAGTAGGAGGGAAACACGAGGACTTGCAGTCACTGAAAGAATGTGAAGCGATCGCTGGAGGGACAAAGCGACAGAAAGAGAGGCGGAGAGGTGACTGGCTGTCTTCTCTGGTTTCCTCACACGTCTCTTTTAGAGCTCAGAGGAGGCACATGATGAGAGGACGACACACACACATACACACACACACACACAAACAATCACACACACAGACACCTTCGGGTGTTTGACATAATTAGACTGTCTTTACTTATAAACCTCCAGTGGCGGCTTGTGTGTGTTGTGAGTGACAGGTTGCAACTGTCAGACTACATGCTTATAGATTTACAGTATCTACACTTCACATGAATGTATTTTGATTAGTATATGACTTTGACATGGGAAGCACACACCACATAATTATATTGTTTTCTATTAACAGTACTTAATGCGTATCATCTTTCTAAGGAAACCTCTCAGGTTTTAGTTAACAGCTATGCTCATCTGGATCCACACTGAAATGTGATAGTTTCCTCCCTGACCCTAACTGCCTTAACACTAGTTTTGTACTATTCTGTCCAGTAGTTTTTGTGTAATCCAACCAATTGACAAACTAACAAACAAATACAGATGAAAACAAATGATAAATAATGATTTGGGTTTCCAGGCTCCCTCACAGGCTCCTTTGTCTCACCTAATGGATTTGGTTTAGCATCATGAAACAGTGGACACTGACAACAGTGGTGCATTATTTTATGGATGAATTGGCTTTAAAACTCTTCAGACGATGAGGGTTTAAGTTTGATCAGTTTGATGTGAACAAATGCAACTACTTCAGATTCAAGCAAAAAAAGATGAAAGTCAGAAAAAATGACATGCCTAAAATGCACCAACATTAAATTGCAACTTGGGCGAGTGTCCATTTGTCTGAAGCAATGAAATGTTGGAGGAATATTATCATTACATATCTTGATAAAATTAATTTACAGCCTTATCTTTGCTTCAAAAGAAAGAAATGGCTCGCCCACACTTTCCATCAAATGGTCCATAAAAATGTGCCAAGCTAAATTAAGCTAAGCGGATCATATTCTGGCTGTAGCTGATATGAGCTATGAATATGAACTATTCATTTAAAACAGGAGGTGAGAATAAGAAAAGAGGATCATAGGGGAACAAAATAGCTTTAGGTACTTACAATAAGACCCGTCCTCTTTCGAGCACACAACACTCCGCACATCCCACAGACCAGGAACTGGAAAGAGAGGAAGACACATGAACAAATGGAACAGTTCCAAAAGTTCCTGTCACTGAGGAAAAGTCACCTATTAAGAAATGGTATTAAATTTTAAATGTTTTGGTGGGTTGCTCCTCCCTGTCCCGACAACAGGAAGGGTGAAGGTGTTCCTTACACCCGCTCACTCACACACACACGCACTTCTCTCCCTCAAAGAAAATAACAGTGTGAGCTTCCATCAGGAAGCCATGTTGTCCTGTATCAGTGATTCAGACTGAACTGGAGCAGCACAGTGGTGTATTGTGCTGACAGAGTGCACTTAAAAGTGGGACATCAGAGTGGGCTGGTTTTGATGAAACGTTCGGCGCAGTGTGTGTGTGTGTGTGTTTGATGTCACTCCTTCCACTCTCAATATGTTGTAGTTTAAAATGACCTTTTATAAGAGTGACTATAGGTGCACTTACTTTTTTCTCTTACTTGTATTGAAAGATATAAAAGTACAATTCCAATGGGAGTTCCTCATCAACTTTTACTGTTATTTCAGTATTTACAGTTTTGCAGAAACTAATCCCAACTCATTTTATCTATATTGTTGACATCTTTAGATATAATACAAAACACAGTCCAAGATTTTTCAGGTTTGACCTACCTTCAAGAAGTGAGCCATTCAGAAAACTGAATTTCATTCTTATTTGGCACTAATTTAAAATAAACTGAGCATAAAATTCTTTATAACTTTAACGTTTCGTGGCCTGAAATGATGATGATTTGAAATGATCGACAGTCTCTTTACTCTCAGCAGGAAACTTAAAAGTGATTATCCAGCCTCCTTTGGGGACAGCGTTCAATCAGTCTCAATGACTCGCAGGTCCTGACAGGAGATCTAAACCTCTGGATGATCATGAGACCCGGGCAGCTGACTCAGCAAACAGCACTCAACAGCTGTGAGGTTCAACACACATAGACATCACATTGCATAACAGCAATTTTACACACAGCACTGTGGGAGCGCAACAATGTCACATCTCTAATATCTCTCCTCTTGGTTTCCTTCACACCTACAAATTTACACTAAAATTAGAATCTCTGAACTTTGCAAAAAAAAAAAAGATGCATGCTTTTTTATGGCTCATATTGCATGTGAAATTCTTAGTTCCCCAGTGGGAGTAGCATAGTAGCTGATTCAATAATAACTCGACAGATATATCAGGTGGCCGATAATATTGGCCTATATGCCCTTTCACAGTTTAACAAAACACTGCGATGCAAAAAACATTTTATCTGAATTTTTTTTTTAATTTCTTGTTTCAAGGTTTATATTTGG